GTAAGAAGCGGTGGTGTTGCTGAGGTTCCTGACCCCAGCTCTGCTTTCACGCCTTGGAAGCCAGCGGCGCTTTGCCCCTGATTTCAGCGGAGATAAGGTCAAGTCCCCAGAGACCTGGCTGCGATCCAAAATGAGCTCGCGAGGTTGCCAGCCCCGGGAGATCGATGGGCTCTGCAGCTCCCTGAGCTGCAAGTGGACACAGGGCAAGGTTTTGGTGGGGCTGGAGTTACTGGGGCTGCGATGGAGAGGTGCTCTGTCCTGTGCGCCAGCCCGAGACGGGGAACAGAGCAAGTCTCCATGTAGCTCTGTGTGAAAACACCCCGCGACAGCTGGGAGTGGGTGGCCTCCTCTCTGCAATGCTCAAGGGATCACTGTGGCCAAATTCCCTTTCCTCACTGCTTTCCTTACCCCCTAGCCCCATCCCGTCACTCAGGTGTTCTCCAGTTGCCATCTTGTCTTGATGCCATGCGTTTGGTTGCCCTGGGGGGTGAATACAGCCCTCCTTCCCTAGCGTGTGCACTTAGCTGTCGGACCCGATGGCATGATTTCCTGGAGGCAGGACACTGATTTCAATAGCTGAGGATGCCAAATGTTATCAGTCCGGCCTGTTTCTGTGCTGCTCGTGCATCAAATACTCCAGCTCCAGGATGGGGCTGCCTGATGTTTACCTCTGCTTGCAGGTTGTCTCACCATCTCAATGGAAATGTGTATTATTTATTAACACAGGTGAGGGCTCTTAACTTGTGTTTGGGTTTTGAAAACCAAATTATTTGTCAGCCCTTAAAAGGCCAACTCAAATTCATTCCAAATTTTATTTGATTAAAGCCACGATGCTTACTGTTGGAAAAATGAAATACAAATAGCCAGTTACCCTGTTTCAGGTGGGTAAATATCACACACAGAATGAAGAGATTTTTTTTACTAGGTTTAAGTGAAACAGAGTCTTTATTTAGTGTCATGTTTTTATTTAAAAGCATTTATTTAAAGTTCTAAAAAACAAAGTATTCAATAAAGCAAGACAGGTGCAACTGCAAATGATTAATGATATAATTCTCAGTACTTTATAAAGTGTCTAACGCTGAAGAGATTTATACAGTGCAGAATGGCAATTGTGCTTTGATGGAAGGAATAGGTAATCAATACCTGCAAGCTTAGAAAAAGTGTTCTATTTCCTCCTTTAATGATATAGGGTTTTTTTGCAAGGCAAGGATGTCTGGAGCATGAGACACTTGGAAGAAGAATTAATTTGAAATCTGTAGTGGAAGATCAGTTTCAATTAAAACTGCACTTAAATGTCCATGGAAAAAAGCAGGCACTTAGGCTTAAACCTTCTGATGGCTATCAGTGAATAAATGAATCCCACTGCACTATTCTTGATTACATTTTATAGGTTGTTGAGCTATTTTTTTCTGGGGAGGGGATATAATTTATTTACTTTGGTCTCAAACTCAAAAATACAAATTTGCTTCTCACCCCCCTAGCTCTGCTTTGCCTTTTCACGCTAATTGTTAAAGCTGGGATGGCCCCAATCCTGTACAGCTGGGAATGGAGATGTTGGGGTCATGGCCTCTATTTCTGTCTAGAATTGCTGCCATAATGGTGTAGGTCGTATTGCATGTAATAATTTGCATATCAAAAACTTCTGAAAGAAATTAATGGAAAACCTAGCCGTTTATAAAATCCTGTGCTGATTGTAACTAGCAGGTCTTGAACCTCTAAATCAGAGTTTAGCCTTATGACTGTAATTTGGGATGTCAGGACTTGGAGTCACTGCACCAGCACTAAGTTGGGGTTTTGAATTGCTGAGAGAGTTTCATTGCATTAGATTTTTCTTTAATAATTCAGCACCAATACAGAAACATTTTATGCATAAAAACTAATACTGTCACATGAAGAGAGCAGATACTGCTAGGCTTTTTTTTGTAAATTATAGATTTAGAACCAAGTGAAGCTACTGTAGTTATAGAAAGATATCTATTGCTATTTAATTAATCCAAACAAGTTTAATTTAAAAAAAGCACCCTTAATGTTTTTTAAAATGATACAAAGCTATACAAGCCTTTAAAGGTCTGTGAAAAACTACATTTCAGCGAGAGTCAGTCCAGGTACCTAAGTCACTTGAGGTTTTAATTCAACATGGTGGTTGGTTGGTTTGTTTACCCTTATGGCTTATTTTATTCATTTTGACAGGACAGTTTTCACTGCAAATTGGTTGAGAGCTGGCTATGCTTTAAAAAAAAAAAAGTCTTTATGACAAGATGCATGGAAGGAACCCTACAGTCCCTGTTAAAATAAATCCACCTACTAAAAAAAAAAAAAATCTCCCCATTGACTGAAGGGTCACCAAAATACTTAAAAAAGAAAAATTTCAGTGCACAGCTCCTTTTGAATGCACAGCTGAAACCACTGCGATAGCCTCTGTGAGCAGAGTGCTTTTGAAAAGCTTACCCCATGTTTATAACAAAGCCAAAAAAGGAGAGCTGGCAGGTTTGATGATTATGTGTAGTACTAAACATTTTAAAGCAAATTCCCAAATTTCATGGAGTAAATGCAAGGTTATATGAAAAGTAAATCTGAATTGCCAATTAATTCACTGCAAACCAATTACGAAGAGCATCCTGAGTCAGGAAAAATATCTGTGTTTGAGTGGAACATGTTTGGTTTTCCCCATGTAGGGTTTTTAATAATTCTGTTCTCCTTGGTTGTGGTACATTGGGAAATGAACTGAAAGTGGCTTTTGCTGACAATACAAGTTGAACCATGAGATAAACGAAACTGATTTTTAACCTGGGCAGATAATGTAAATGATTTTTAAAGGATGTTGTGATTTTGCCTAATTGTAGTTGAAAGTAAAACACTTTCTTGCTGTTGTTTTGGTTACCATGCAGCATTCATGTGTGATGACTGTAGCACAGAATCTTGCTATTGATGAAGTGTCCTGAATTAGCCCACGGGAAGATAAGAAGAATGCATTTTGCAACTAGTCAGATTAAAACCCAGGGGCCAAAGAACTGGCCTTCACAACTGCTGGGTTTGGATGGCACTAACTGAATTTACATACACTTCTTAGATGCAAGGGTAATAAATGTATATTGGTGTATCACTTACTGCTGTCTGCCTATCGAACAGACGTGCTGACTGTGTAGTTTGGACGTACGATACAGGTATGACATCAGGGTTCTCAGGAGAGCAGAGTTCAACTCTGGGTTGTAACTTGGTTTTGGTAGATGAGCTTGGGCAAATTGCTTCCCTTCTCAGGCCACCAGTTTCCCTGTCTTTACGTGACAATAATGGTGCTGATCCCTGCTGTAAAGCACTTCAAGAACTGTGAGCAAAAAGCGCTTTAGAAGATCTCTGTGCTGTTCTTTCAGGAGCTTAAACCACTGTTAGCGCTCATAGGAAGATAATATCTTAGTCTCCGATAATACAAGTTAAGAGTTGGAGAGGGAGGTCATAAGAGAAATTTGAAATTCACTGGAGATCCTCCTGTGTGTGCTCTCGAGGGCCCCTGGTGTTATATTGCATCTAAAGCTGGTATTTGGTGGGGATGACAAGGTCTTTGCCTGACACCTTTTATTTTTACGTATTATCTTTTTTGACTGTTTGTGCTGGAGAACCTCGCAGAATGGGCAGGGTGGGTTAGGGCTGTGGCAGACAACCTCTGGCTGGCAGGTTTAGTGGTGGTTTGCGATATTGCCTCTCGCAGCTCCACCACCACACCGTAAGACACTGCTGCTTTCCTTCTCCCAGCAGCAGTGCTGGTGCAATCCTGTCACGAAATTTAGTTAAACAATTTGGGGGTTGAGGACTCATTAATACAGCAAAAAGTGATCTGGAGCTGGTGAAAGCTCCGGAACAGGGGCAGGATGCACTCCTCCTCCTGTGCTTTGTGAGTTGGGTGGACAGCTGTGATAACAGCAATATCTTAAACTACTGAAAAATACTTTAAAGCGTTATGCTGAGCCCACGAGGACCCTGACGTGCTGGGGACAGAGGCTGCTGGTGTCCTATCTCTTCGCAGCTGTAGCATGCTCTTCTCTTACTGACCTTGCACAGTGGCTAGTGATGGGCTCACAAATTACAGAAGCCTATATTGCTTTCTAGAACTTAAACTCCTCCCTGTAATTTTTTTAAATCAAAAAAAGAGAGTAGAGGGGAGGAGAGGTGACAGCGTTTGGCTCTGTGTCTGCTTTTGGCTAGCTGTCATGTAATATGGATGGCTCTGACGTGCGCAGGTACAGATGCACATGTAAGACACTGCCCATCAGTCCTTGTAGCTTCTCATTTACTGCTAATATTTGACTTGACTTGTTTTGAGAGAGTAGTTTACATCAGGTGAGAACAGACTGTGCTAATAAAGAAAACAGAAAACTCGTGTAAGAGCAGCAGCAAAAGAAATCGGTATTTTCCTTGACAGGTCATTGTCCTCTATACCTCCTCCATCCAGAGTAATTTTTTTTTTCCCCCTTTGTTGTTTTCTTCAAATTTACTAATATACATTTAATTCTTTCTTTTCATCTTTTCTGGCTTCAAAACCTCCAAAAGAAATGAGAACATTAATAAAGATCATATTATCTAAGCAGAGTATTACACAAACACGAGTTAATGGATAGCTGGTACATTATTTGTCTTGTGAAAAAGTAAATGATATACTAATATATTAAGGCTGAAGCTTTAGGAAAGTTCCTCTAACGCCATGCTAATTCATAACATACGCACGAGGGGAACTTGGGAATTGCAGATAGTTTTACAGAATAGGAATTTAAAAATAATTTTAAAAAAGGCCATTGTTCGTTACTGCTGGAGGCAAAGTTGGAGTACTGCTCAAAGCTAATGGATTTCAGTCTTGTCCTAAGTTTACAAGTCTTAACCTCTTTCAAATGCAAGAAGTGTAACTGTGGAGTTACCTGGGGAGCTTAAGTGCTTCATCGTCTTACTTAAGAGTTACCCAGAACTATTGAGCCACTGGAATGTTAATTGGCGTTGGTATTTTTTAACAGGTACCTATGGTCCTGAGCACTGGGTTACTTCCAGTGAGAAGTGCGGAGGGTCTCACCAGTCTCCCATAGACATTGTAGACCATCAGGCGCATGTTGGAGATGAGTATCAAGAACTGCAGCTTGATGGTTTCGACAATGAATCTTCGAACAAGACTTGGATGAAAAACACAGGAAAAACGGGTATGTTCTTTTCTGTTTGTCTCCGGAGCCTGCCTGCAGTCAATTAAAAATTCAAGCCATGTTCCACCCTCCTCCTTTTTCATTATTCTGTTGTTTGGATTTTGCTGCCTTTTTTTTTTTTTTTTTTTAAATAATAATTTTCCAGCAGCAGCCACCTATCTCTGCCTCTACATTCTGTGCAAAGCTAGTTCTGCAGATTGATTTTAAGGGTTTTTTTTAAGGGATTTTGGTTTTTTTTTAGGTTCTCGGTATAAAATGATTCTCTTGGTAGTCAGTTGTTGCTCAGAATAAAAGGCTGTATAAGAGTTTTAAGGTGTAACCTTGAATTATCAGCTTTGGGAGGTTGTAACATCTAATCCAAAAGAATGCTGAGATGCAAGACTCAGACTTTTGTAGGAAAGGGGAAGTCTTAGAAATTGGAAGGTTTTAGAGAAGAAAGAGCAATAACTGCTCAGAGTAGTAGGGGCTTATTAATGTGTTTCTGATATGATTATAGCACTGTGTTCTTCGCTGAACTGAATCCTCTTCTGCTCTGTCTGTTCTGGCTTTTAGTGAAAAGAACAGTCGGAGTACTGCTTATTTTTACCAAAACAGTTCACCAAAAGGTCAAGGTTGATTTATATGCAAAGCCGCGTGCATTTGATTACTCTTTAATTCTAAAAATGTAAAAAGCAGAAATTATAAGGCCACCCTCTTCATTTGACAAGGTCAAATATTTTTAGGGAATTGGATTAAACCACTAATTAATTCAATTTTATTTATTGGAAGTATATTTTTATCTTTATTAACATTCGACATGCATCTCTATAATGCTTTACGTAACATGTCCCTAGTTCAGAGGTCTACTAGCAAAACCCAGGGCATGTACCCGCTCCGGGAGTTTGCAGCACAGCTGTGCACGCAGCGTGACCTCAGATACACCCATTGCTTCCAGGGGACTTTGGATCTGAGCCGCAACCTGGAGTCCAGCAAACGCTTCAGATCTAGTTCCAGCAATTCAGGATCTTAGCGGGAGTTGAGAGGAGTTGTCCCTCAGATGAGATGGAGTGACAGGCTGTGATCCTGTTTTCTTTCACCGCAAAGCAAATCCAGATAACATCAGCGACCACCAAGCATAGCTTGGGTTTTTGATGCATTACTGAGAGTTTTCTCCAGCTTCACTAAGAAATGCTCCTCTCTGCTTTGAAATCCTGACCTTGTTGCCCTTTGTAGCAACATGAGGCTCAGGCAAGGTTGAATGCTATGGAAATTTGGTGCTTAATTAATCTATTCATGTTATGCACCCTGCCCCTTTGGTCACAGAGGGGTGTTTGTGGTAACCAGCAATAAATGTAATTTAGAAAAGTGATGGTGCTGTTCTTCTAAGAAAGATGCTAATGCTATACTGTATGTGTAATAGGAACATATTGCTGCACATATAATAGGAAACCATGTTGAACCAAAACGTGCCAGCAAATTTTCCAGTCTCCACGCAGTTGGCAATGAAAGCTGTATCTTCAGCCTTCTCTTCTGAGTGATTTTAGCACTGCTGCTATATTTGATTTCCTCACCCATTGGGGTATGGATTTTTGATGACAAGTTATTGCTTCGCAGAGCAACAGTAACTGTCACTTTTCTTGGTAACTTACGTCCTTTTACTGGTAACATGAAGACTCTTTTTGCCTTGCTGTCATCCCTGATTTCTTCTGCTGAGCTCTTAACTCCTCCCTTATTTTATCAAGTCTCATTCCTTTTCTTGGTTTTCTGACCTTTTGAAGAAACTTGCCTGGGATTAATTTTTAAGGTGGTAAGTGGTAGAGCAGCAAACCCGGTAGGATGTTTTGGCTTGTGGGTAGAATATAGAGGCAGGTCGTGCCATAAATTGCGATGCATTTTGGCAGCAGAGTCTTGGAGCAGATGGCCACATGAGACCTTCATATTGCAGACTGACAGAGACAGTAAACTAAATATCTGTTTAGGCAATGGTGACGGATGTAGAGGGCATTTCTCAGCAATTAATGACTGGTTAAAAGAGACGGGGGTCCGAGGAAAAGCCAAAGGCGCTTAACCTTGATGCTCATTAACTGGCAGGAAATGTGTTACTTGGGTTATTGTTACTGCTATTGGACCTAGTAATTTTTCTTTTAGGATAGAACAATTAGTTATTTTTATGCTCTGAAATGTTAAAAGGTAAAGAGGTTATTGCTCTTTAGATTTGTTGTGCTCTTTCTTGTTTCCCTTCCCTCCCCCTCTACCCCATCAGGTAGACAATGTACAGAAAACAGCGTTTCATTCAGAAAATGGCAATGGGTTCAGTAAGCCCCTGTCTCGACTAGAAATGCTTTTGTGCATGATTCCACTGGCAAAGGCACTAATGTGGGCTCGATTTCATCACCATAGTAGCTGGTTCCCAAGTGGTAAAAAGCACTTGGAGACTATAAGCACATTTCATAGTTGTATTTGCATTAGTAGTTCTCATTTGTGCCACCTTATAATTGTTAGCTGGTGTCAGCCGGGCCTGAGGCTGACAAGGCTTCTTTGAGCCCAGCCTGCCCCATGGGAGCAGTACCCTTGCCAGCATTACACAGACATTGCTACTTTACCCCTTTTTAGGTCACTGAGAACTTCTAAAAACTCCTTCCACTTAGAGAAACCTACTAAAATTTCTGCCCAGAGATGTGTTTTTGTTGAGTACCTCTCCTACGTGATGTGATGTGCATCACTCTGCCTGGTCCTGACCATCAGAGCCACTCTGCTAAGGCAGGGGAAGAGCTGCTTTGTGTCCAGGTTTATTTTTGCCCTCACGAGGGTGATGAGCGCATATCACAAGGGTGATATGCCCTCATCAGGGCATACAGCTCCAGCCCTGATCCTGCAAATAGCATCGTGCAATTGTGATCCTGGTGGCTGTGCACCACCTCCTTTTGGTTTTGTAATCTCAATTATATAGTATTTTAAATTAGTGGGCTTTGGGAGTTGATTCTTTGCTGTGCACTCTACAGAAATCATTGGATAAAAGAGGTGGCTCCTGAAGCCCGGTAAGGTGATGTTTGTTTATTCCGGTCCTGAATACTAGAGATCACGTGGAAGGGAGGGAAGCCTCCAAATCGCTGGCAATAAGGGGATGCTGCTAAGATAGGAAGGTGATGGGAACATGTGTTGTACAGCTCAGCAGTTTAAGAAATACTGTAAAATGAACAATTAGATGAACATTTCAGACTGTACATCCTCCTAATTATCCTTTTAATTATTCATCTAAAACAAGTAAAATGACCCCTGACAGAGCCATAAATGATTTAGGAACTATCAAATATTTATTAGATGCAACTGAATCCCCACAGAGGTTTTTAACAGATGCACAGGAATCTGCTTTCCTGTATTCCTCATCTCCTACAATTTTATCTTTGGAATTTATAACCAATTGAGTGAGACTTTCAGTATTTAAAATACTGCTGAGCTCATTGAGAATTTTTTAAGGGAGGAAGAGAGCAGTGGTGCTTTCCGTCACTTATGTTACACAGATTTGGTGTAAGAAGACAGTGACCACCAGTAGTACCCTGGCTGACCCAGGTAGTATCCTGCAGCCAGTCCCGCACCACCCGTCTTCCTACACAAACACTTTGTTGCAAAGGGAGTGCCAAAAGAACCAGAAATCATGGAAGAAAATTAGCCCCGTGATGTCACTGGCACAATTTGGAAACATCTGAACATCTCATGCAATTTGACATTTAGATGGTTTTAACATGAATGATTTAAAGTCACAATGTGTCTAAATTGTACAGTTGTACCTGAGATGAGGCTGCTGTAGCCAACTGTCTGGACTCACGAGAGGGCAGCCCTGGTGCGGCAGAAAGCCCAGCCTGCAGCGAAGCCTGCCACTGATTCACCAACAGAGGAATAACTTTTATTTCACAACTGGCTTTTTTGTTTTTTCAGCAGTGAATAAAAGCCTCCCTCTTACATAATAAAATTGGATTTATATTAATGTTCCCGTTGTGATGACACAGTTGGCTTGAGAACACAGAGAAATCTCTGTGGGTTATGCTATTCCCGTTTAAAAAAAAAAAAATCCCAAAACCAACCCAAAAACTTTAATCACAGGATTCTGGGCACAGCAAGCGGTGGTCTGCAACGGCTTTTACAAGAACAAAATTCTAATTTTAGTTCTGTTTTTAAGCAACAGTTTTGTAAGGGATGAGAAGAACGGATTTTGCAGGGAGTAATTTTTAGGAATCATGCATATTAAAAATGGGAGATGCTAGAAAGGCAGATGATCTTGTAGTGAGAGCAGCAGACAGGAATTTTCTGAAAGCTGGATTCAGTCTTGGTTGGACCACAGACCTCCCCTGTAACATGTACCAGCTTCCACCATATGATTTTGCCCTCTATTTGGACCTACAGCTTTAATTGTTACATAAAATACAAAGGCTTTTGGAAATGAAAAGAAAATACAAGGAAGATCCTTTTGACGCTTATTGAATCACATAATAATAATGTCAGTTACTGTAATAAAACCCGGTTCTTATGGAGGACGTCTCATGAGTGGGTCTCAAAAATGTTATTGTCATTCTCCCCATTTTACAGAAAGGAGGAGCAGGGAGGCTAAGGAAGGTACCCGCCATGTCCAGCAGCAGAGGTGGGACAGGGCACAGGGGACCCCCAACAAAATAGAGGAAATCCAACAAACAGAGGAGACATTCTTTTCCTAACTTGTGATCTACAGACCTTCAGTGGTTTGTAAGGCCAAGGAACGTGGTCAGCCATTACTCTCTAGAACCACATTAAACAAGTTTTGATGGAGTTTGCCATTTAAATTTTAATCAAAGTCAAATAAGGAGGGCAAAAAGTCCTTGAGAAATTTGGACTTTGGGATTTTCTGTAGTCTATGTAACTTCATAATCACTTCCATAATTAGCCAGCGTTACTTGTAGACTTTTTTTTTTAAACCAATCCCTGTAAAGAGGAAAATGATGACCCAACATTGTACTTGCATTAGAAGTATTCTAATATAATGAGCAAAAACTGTAAATGCTTCAGAAGAACTGTGCTAAGAATGTCTTTCGCCCTGTTCTGTGTGTGCAGTTGCTATCCTGCTGAAGGACGATTATTTTGTCAGCGGTGCTGGGTTGCCGGGCAGATTCAAGGCAGAGAAAGTGGAGTTTCACTGGGGTCAAAGCAACGGATCGGCTGGCTCTGAGCACAGCATCAATGGCAAGAGGTTCCCTGTTGAGGTGAGTGGAAAGACATGCGCTTATGTTCTCGAAAAAAATAAAATCGGAATGTATTGCTGTAGTTTGAGACAACTGTGAAATAGGGCAATGTTTCCTTCAGTGAACATATCACTTTCAAGGCCCTTCCGGCTCTCGCAGCGCTCTATCTATCATCTCTTATGTGCTTTTGCAATGTCAGCTCTGAGCTCTGCTTTGCTAGCGTTGCCAGCTTTCACGTCCCATGGGTTAAGTTGCAAACAGCCACTTTTCTCGATTCTCCCATAAGCTTTTCATGTGTGGGAGGATCTCCTTGCAAATATCCACAAAGTGACCTCGTTGTCCTCCAAATCTTTTCTTTCCCATGATGCTGACAAACAAATAGCAGCAGTTTGGGAGCCGTCGTGCTGAGACCGCTGTCTTTCGTCGGTATTGCTTCCTCACAGATGTAAGGCCCTCTCTCTACCTGTATTCAGCTGCGGTGCCTTGCCTTGTGCTAACAGGACGTCTACATAGATCTGTGCAAACAGCCGTGCGTTTGCTCTGCCTGTGCAGGAGCCAGCTGGACCCGAGCCAGCCCCGGACTGCCAGCCGCCCAGCTATCATAGCAGAGCGCTGTGCCGCAGCGGGAGCAAGGTATCGGCTTGAGCACAGCACCCTGCGAACGCGGCCGTGTTCAGAGCACGGGGCTGGGCGGCTGTCTGCAGCTGACCGCAAGGACGTGCCTTTAGATGGCAGGGAGGGTCCCGGCGCCATGGGCTGCTGTGGAGCCTGGTGCGGTTGGGTCTTGGCTTGTGACTGATAGTCCTAGGTCACTCTGTCATCCGTGCAATGTTTTCCGTGTCAATAGAGTTTGTTGATACTTTTCACTCTGTATTCAAGGTTTTGCATGGTGAGATAAACCAGATGTTATCTGGGATTACCTTTGCCTGTCGGTAAGCAGATAAGCACTTTCAGACCGTGGCGTGTGGACATGAGCTGGGTGCGGGGAGCTGCGCTTGTCCAGAAAGCTCACGTGTGGGCAGAAATGGTTGTCTTGTGAGCTGGGTCTTGCGAGAACTTGATTCAGCCCCCAGCTTGCCATAATTCATCACGTGTGGCTTTAGCCAAGTCACATTTTTCAGGAGATGGGAAGGGGCTTCCAAAGCACAAAGAGAGGTTGTAATAGACTCTGGTGCATGACCAAAACCTCTGATTTTCACCTCCCTGCTCCAACTGCCCCATCACATAAGAATTAGAAGCCATTTTTTGTCTCCCAATTCTGAACCTGTACGTTGGATGTTCTGTGAGGCAGAGATTTTTTATCTTCTTTTTAACAAGCTTTTCCAACAGCTTCTAGCTTGATGTAGCTGTGATTTCTCACAAGGGTCCACCCCTGAACACATGGAGCAAAGGTCCAAACATTGTCATGCTGCCCTGTCTGTCTCAGTTGGCAATACTGATATTTGTAAACCTATTTCTGGGTGGCAGAAGGAGCACTCAGGAAGTCTACAGAGCCAGTCAACTCCTCTTCTGAAATTTCAGGGAGTGGAGATGGTAAAGGAGCCTGGGCCTTCTTGTTTGTGTCAGAAATAGTATTTCCACTTCACAAACCCTTTCTTATGATGCCAAGGCTATTTGATGCTGGCTTGATGAATGGAAGCTATTTTACTTTGGAAAAAAGCAAATTCTTAAGAAATAATTTTCCTTTGGTTTAAATATTCTTCATTTTCTTTTCAATTGGTTAGAATACTAATTTTTTTCTACTTTAAAAATGAAGGAAAAAAAAAAAAAAGACTGCCTTTCAGAATTTAGGTCACTTGTTTATGAATGCTGTGCAAAATAAATTGCTGTATCAGATAGATTTAGTGTTAATCCTAATAATGAAAATGTAATTTTCCAAGTGATTTGTATTTGTTGCAATGACATGAACCTCTGTTCTCTGGCCTTCCTGGGTATGATGGCATCAGCAGAATTCCCACAGCCTTTCCTTTACTATATTGTAAAGGAAGAGCAGTTTCCAAACCAAGCCTTTCCCTGTTGTGATGCTATCTACCTCCTACCCAAGAATTCCAGATTCCAGTCATGTGCTGAAAAGGATTTTCATGGGTGGATCTTGAAGGGTCCAGTAGGTCTAAGGTGATGAAACTGAGTCCTTCTTGCCAATACATGCAAAAACAGTCCTCATAGTTGGGGTTAGACCTCTCAAACAGTAACTGTACATGTATGCATGGTGGAGCATTTAATTTGTAATGCTAATTGTAGTTCAGCTTGCAACTGTCTGATGCAACCCTAATTGCTTGATGCTGGGAGATCTGTGCCAGAAATACTGTACTTCATTTGAGAAGTGGCATTTCTAGGAAGGCTGTAGAAAGGAAAAAACAAAATCCTATCCTACAGAAAGCAAAGCCCAAATCACTCTGATTATTCTGAGCTCGTGGACGTAGGTAAAGCTTTTAAGGAGCGTGCAGGTATTGGCATTCCAGGTCTGCAGCAGTTACAGTGGCGATGCAGCTGAAAGGAAACATTTTCTGAGTCTAATTGTGCAACCAGATGTGGACTATGCAAAACCCATTAGTTCCAAAGCACATCCCAAGGGAACGCGGATAGATCAGCTTCATCCATAGACTGTGCTCTGTGCACATGAAGTTTAGACTTTTTTTCCTCTGGGAAACAAAGTGCTTGCTGGTAGTCTTTTTTCTTGAAGAGGATTCAGAAACTAATTAGAAATGTCAGATATAATACAGAGCATTACTGGTTGACCATGTTGTTTGGTTTTTATTATTACAACTAATGTGTCAGATGGTAAGGCTGTCTACGTTAATTGGTTTCCTTCATTGAAGCCCATCTGGATCATATTTTTTTGTGATTTATACGTTAAATTAGTCGGTAAGATATATGAGAACATCCTTTTGTTTCCTGCTTTAAAGGCGTGTTGGATCAAAGGCGTATTATCTTGCAGTACTTTTATGCATATGTAGCATATTGTGATTCCTTTTCAAAGCATGGCATATGTAATTGTATTCTTTCATTATGTGGTCTTGATAGCTTATTTATTGATTAGATTTTCCTTGGTGATACTTGAGCCTTATGAAGCCATTATGAGCTTGGCCGTCTCTGACGTACTCATGAACAGATATGTCCACGTACTTCAAACTTTCATCTGCAGCCAGGTTCCAGTTTGATACCAGGCCTGGTCAGCATTGGCCTGAAGTTTCTTTTTCCCTCCTTCTTGCCATTTTAGCACCATCATCTGGGTGAGGCCAGGAACTAGTGCTGTGATGCTGAAGATTAAAGCAATACCATTAGCGTATTGCTGTGTGAGTGGAGCGTGAATCCTAATGAGGACGCGGGCTCTGTGCCAGTTTAGAAAAAGTCTCTCTCCTTTTTTCTTCAAGTTAAGAAAAGTTTTTAACACTGCATTCTCTAAATTTTAATGAATTGCTGACTCCTTTGTATTTTGTTATTGTTCTTCTCCACTATAATTACTCAGGTTTTTCTTTTTCTTTCTGGAGTCGAAGCAGTATAAATGAACATGCAAACACTAGAAACCATTTAAATGATGAAGTGACAAAATTAAAATAAAGAAGATGAGCTTCCCTCAGGCCAGGAGGGAACCCAGGTTCCCCTCATTAGAGCCAAGAGGAGTAATTGCAGTGCTTTAATCTCCAGTGTCACCGCACCGGTTACCAGCCCTGCCTGCGCAGAGCTTGCGGCAGGCAGGGCACGCCACGTGGGCTGCCTGCTAGGGGGGAAACCCGGCGCCTGACATCTCATAGGCGAGCGAACAGCTGACGTGGCAGTGCTCGCCTGTGCTGTGCTGGAGGAGTTGGGTACCACCGTCCCAGCATAACTGTGATTTTTTTGAGCGGCTTCTTACTCATTTTTATGCAAAATGCTGATTATTTCTGTGAAGAGCAGAAATCAGAAGAGTGATTTTAATCATGACTGTGTTAATTTGATGTGAGCTTTGGCTGTTTATGAGCTTTCTCTTTAATGGTGCTAATTGTCAGTTATAATGTGAACACCATTATACAGTAATATACAGTAATTTATTTAGTAAATGAGAATCTTATTCCAAGGACCATACTGCAATATGCCATAGAGACCTCATCCCTTTAATCTTACATGAACAAACTTGCACCGTCTAGGCCAAATTGGTAATAGGAACATCAGCTTGGCTGCTGAAATAGCAATGTCATTTCGTACCCACAAGTGCCAACATGCATGTTTTTGGAGATCTTGAGTTCTTCTCCATTAAAAAAAAAAAAACCACAAAAAAAAACCCAAACAAAAAAAACCCCCAACAAAACCCCCAAAACCATCCCAGCAGAAAATGAAGAGCTAACACCCTTGCTTGTTGATTAACAAGCTTTTACGTTATGTTGATAGATTCATTTTACTAAATTATTATTACAAAACAATCATTTGCATTAACAATTCTTGCTCTTCTTTAAGCGTGTTTCTTAGAAGACTTTCCAGGTTCTAATGGTGTCTTTGTTCTTGCTACTTCTTTGATTCTCTTTGTTTTCCCTTTGAATATACATACTAACTTCAGCGTGGTCTAGATCTACAGCTAGTTGCTCTAACATGAATGCTCAGATCTCCTTGCCAAAGTTTACCACTGTGTGCTATCCTACCTCTCATTATATCACTTAAATTCTGATGTTTTATATTATCACAGGCAGAAGACAATCAATGTCATTAATGTAGAAGAAATGTGTGGTATTCAGTGCACAAAAACCTTTACTACAGGGAATAAACTGAGACCAGTCAATGGTTTTTTGGTGTTTTTTTTGTTGTTGTTCCATCCTGAATGTTAAGTCTTTCTATCACACCTGGAGTCGTCTACAGTATATGTCTAGCCTTTTGTCCACCTGTGGATGGCAGGGGATATTTACTTTTTAATGTTAGAATTGGGGTCTTTTCTGTTCTTTAGTTTTACTCTTGGTACATTTGTAAGTCTGTTTAGATTTGTGCATGCTTTTTGACATTAAAAAATGAATGTATCACAGTATGTTTTCTTGATATACAGGAGAGAACTA